TTTTCTTAGAGCCCCTTTGAGGTCTCTGTTCCTCAGGCTGTAGATGAAAGGGTTTAGCATGGGGGTCACCACTGTGTACAGCACAGTCGCTATGGTGTCCTTCTCAGCTGAGTGAGAGGATGCAGGGTTGAAATACACAGCAATGATGGTGCCATAGAAGAGGGAGACCACAGACAGGTGGGAGCCACAGGTGGAGAAGGCTTTCCATCGTCCCCTCGTGGACCGAACCCTCAGGACAGCACAGGTGATGCGCATGTAGGAGGCCAGGATGCAGACAAATGGGGTGATCATGATCAGGGCGCCCTCAGAAAGAATCATCACCTCGTTGAGGTGAGTGTCTGAACAGGAGAGTCTCAGGAGGGGCGTCACATCACAGAAGAAGTGGGGGATCACATTGTCTGCACAGAAGGAGAGTCGAGCCATCAGCAGGGTGTGCAACAGAACATTCAGGTTGGCGACAACCCAAGATCCAGCCACCAGCACAGCACAGAGCTGATGAGTCATCTTTGTGGTGTAATGTAAGGGGTGGCAGATGGCAACAAAGCGATCATAGGCCATCACAGCCAGGAGGAAATTGTCCATGTCAACAAACATGAAAACAAAATACATCTGTGTGAGACAGCCAGAGAAAGAGATGGCCTGGCTGCCCAGCATGTGATTGGCCAGCACCTTGGGGACAGTGGTGGAGGAGAAGCAGATGTCCACAAAGGACAGGTTGCTGAGGAAGAAATACATGGGGATGTGTAGGCGATTGTCGGTGCTGATGGCCAGGAGAATGAGCAGGTTCCCCAGGACAGAGGCCAGGTACATGGTCAGGAATAGCAGGAAGAGGAGCTGCTGCTGGGGCTGCCTGGAGAGGCCCAGGAGGAGGAACTCAGAGATGCTGGACTGGTTCAGGCCTCCCATGGTGCTGAGAACCTGAACCCAGAGGCAAAGACAGTAAATTCCAAAACTGGGAAGTGATGGTTAAGGTTAAGGCAATTAAAAAGATTGAAGGGTAGGAGAACATGACACTTTAGGTAAGAGTAGAATTGTCCTCCTTGTGTTTTGGCCTGTGGCTGGCATTCTTTGTGGTTTCATTCCTTCCTTAGAAAGAGAAGATAGTTTGAGCTGAGTGTGGTGTTGTATGCCTATTATCCCAGCACTCCGGTAGGCTGGGCAGGAGGGTCACAAATTGGAATCCAGCTTGGGCAATCTAGTGACTTAGCAGGACCCCATCTCGAAAATTTAAAATGTAGTCCAGTGTGAAGGTCCTGGGTTCAATCCTCAGTACCCAAAATGAAATGAAATAATACAAAAATTAAAAAAAGAAAGATGAGATAGTTTGCTTATGGATACCATAAGGAAACTCTAGGACACCAGAAAGATTGGACAGTGAGTTTATCCACTGAGCTTTGTATTTCTTGAACTTTCTACCATTATGTTAAATTTTTAAGAAGCAACTGTAATAGGGCTGGGGATTTAGCTCAGTTGGTCCGCTGCTTTCCTCCCAAGTGCAAGGTCTCAAGTTCAATCCCCAGTACCAAAAAAAAAAGAGAGAGAGAAGTAACTGAAATAAAACACAAATAGTTGCCATAGAGACAGACATGTAAACATTTACCCCTGAGCACCAGTGTCATCAATATCATTAGTGCTCTTATCTTAGCAAAAATGTCTCTGCTTTATCATCTCCAACCTGGGCAAGTTACATATTCCTGGCTTCTTTGCTCTGACTGTCATATCATGATCAAACAGTAGCTGTGCCCAGAGTGACAAAAATGATATTGCTGCTGCTGTCTGTGCTCATGATGACAGAGCCCCTTACAGAGGCCTGAGCCGGGCCTCTTGACCAGATCTAGGCTAACCTGTAACAATCCAGGCATACGGGAAGAAACTCAGTTTGTTTTCCCTACCTCAGGGTCTCAGTTAAAGACAAGGCAAACACTGCTCCTGGCAGGTGGTTACAAGGGACTGCTCCATGACCTCAGCACAGTTTCAATGGTGCCACTTACTAGACACTGGGGAGTGGCCCTACGAGGGTTCGCTCCCAACCAGCAGTTATGGACGAAGTCCCACTCTGACTCTTACTCAGAAAGAATGGCAGTCCTTATTGTCTCCGGAAGTCCTGGGCTGGCTTTATTTTTTCAGGTCTGACCAGAGATTATTGATCTGAGGGAAAAGGACTTGTCCTTGGGGTTTTAAGGCTCAGTCCACGTGAAAGATATGGATACAGGGACTTAGCCCTCAATATAAGAAGCATGTGTGCGAGAGTCCCAGAGCCAACTCTTTGCAGGAGCCTTCATGGCCACAAGGGCCATATTCCCTTAGAGACTCATTAGGGATAAGCAAAAGGTAATAATTGTCCCTTCTCCTTGGGTTCTTTGAAATCCAACAGTAATAAGAAAGGCCTGTCATTGAGCTGTGTAACTACCATGCCAGGACTTGGCAACATTGAAAATGATACGGTCTTGGGGATGAACACTGGCAACAACGCTTCTGCCACAGAGAACTCACAATCCTACATTTTATCCCTTAGCCAAACTGGGATGGATACTTGTTGGGAGATACATGTGAAGCTGTACAGGATTAAGAAATAAATTGTAAGCTTTCACAGACCTATGACAGATCCATCATGACCAGTTGTATGTCCTTGGAAAAGCATAAACCACCTCTGAATCACAAAATGCCATCCTCTGTAGAATGGAGAAATAATTGTCACCTTGCAGAGGTGTGATGACTAAGTAGGACACGTCGTGCTAAACATCTCACGACTCCCAAACTCTTCCATGCACTGGGCATGCCCACTAGGTGAGACTACAGGGGATAAATCACATTTGCTCCCTGCTCAGTGATCTGTACTCTGGATAAATATAATTTGGAAATAGCACTACATATTTATCTTCATTTGTCAATACTTATTTTTATAAGGGGCCATATGATAAGTCTTTCTGTCTATGTTTTAATTTTGGGTTAAATGAGAAATGGGAACTACAGATAAGTACATGTACAAGTTAGTAGAATATGAACTCCAAGGAGAAAAAGAGAATTCTTGAATCCAGTCGGTATCATTCTTTAAGAATTTTCCTCTATAATTGTTTTGAAGGCAAGACTTGGCTATTAGGTTTCCATAAAGCATTTGATCTTGTGCATTGTGAAGTTCACTTGCATGGATTGATAATATTAAGACATGAAAAACATAGAACTTGAGTCAAAAGAAGCAGATGAATCCTTGGAATAGTGTCCTCTGGAAACCATGTGCTCCCCTAACTAATCCTCCCACTTGAGTTGTTTATACACTATTTTTAATTCTGACTTTGGTGGGTTTTTGGTTTTTGTCATGGGGTGTGTGTGTGTGTGTGTGTGTGTGTGTGTATGTTTGATTGTTTTTGGTTTTTGAGACAGGGTCTTGCTATGTATCCCAGGCTAGCCTGGAACTCAGCAGTCCTCCTGCCTCAGCCTTCTGCATGCTTGGATTTCAGGTGTGTGCTACCATAACTGGCTTGATAATGATATCTCTTTTTTTCCTTTCTTTTTTTTTTTTCTTTCCTTTGGTACTGGGGATCAAACTCAGCACCTTGCGCTTAAGAGGCAGGCCGCAGCACCACTGAGCTAAATCCCCAACCCCCCACTTGTTTTAGACAAGGCCTCACTATGTAGTCTAGGCTGGCCTTGAACTCACTATATGGCCCAGGTTGGCTTTGAACTCATGGTGATCCTTCTGCCTCAGCCTCTCAAGTGCTGGGGTTATGGGCGTGCGCCACCACACCTGGCTGATAATAGTATTTTAATAAGTAGCACCTGGGAAATGGGTGGGGAGAGAAAAGGGAATTTAAAAAATCAAGGTATGTACCTTCTCCCTAAAATGAATGTAAACATCATTGTCTTACTTTTCTTGCTGCTGAGACAAAATACCTGACATGCAAAGTTACAGGAGGAAAGTTTTATTTAACTTTAGATTTTGTACAGGTTTCAATCCATAGTTGGCTCCAAGGCAGAGTGGCACGTGGCAAAGGGGCATCTCAGAGAAGAACAACAGTTCATGGCACCCACAAGGTAGCAGAAGCAACAAGAGACCTTAACAACATCTTTCTGTCCCTTTTCTTATTTGGCCTACTCAGAGCAGGTGGCACTCACACCCTTGATCCTAGCGCCCCAGAGCATAGCGTTGCACCCTGAATCAATCACACACTCTAGATTCAGCCACCTCTTAAAAAGCCCCAACTAAGAGCTGGGGATTTAGCTCAGCGGTTTGTTGACCTGCCTTGCAAGCACAAGGACCCAAATTCAATCCCTAGTACCAAAAAAAAAAGTCCCAACTAATACTCTGAGGAGATAGCTAAACATGAGCAATAATAATCATGGACTGTAAACTATACTAACAAAATAAAATTTTAAAATTAATGAACAAATTTCAGGAAAAAATAAATAATATTCACCTACTCTCTAAATAAAAAGCCCAGGGATATGATGAGTCTCTATGTCCGCTCCAGACATGCTGTTAAAAATCAAGTTCTGTTCATCTGATCTCCAAAAATAGCCCAAAAGGGGGTCACTGAGTTGTAGCTTAGGGGTACAGTGCTTGCCTATCATGCATGGGTCCCTGGGTTCCTTTACTAGCACTGGAAAAAAAAGCCAAAGAATGAATAAAAACAAACAACCCACAAAGCTATGAAAAAATGGGGCAGGGGAAAATGGTCATTGAGCTAAGAAAGATATTATTTGCAAGTGATAGAAAACCAATTTCTATCAGCCTAAGAAGAAATAGAATCTATTGTTTGATTTAGTTGCAAAGCCCAAAGTGTCTTCTTACAAAATTTGTGTTTCACACAGGGACCCAAATAATGACAACAGGACCTTATATTTCGTTATCTCTATTTTGTTTGTTTCTTTTTTCCTTTTTTCTTTATTGTAGTCAGGGTTTTCAAGGGAATAGATTTAATACAGGACACAAAATTTATAGGATTATTTTGTAATATTCTCCCAAAAGGTCAAATGCAGAGTAGTGCAAGAGATCTGTCCATAAACTAGAGACCTAAAGAATCCAGCCGAGGGCCTGAATCCCACAGCAAAGTCCCACACAAGTCCAACTATCCGCCTAAAGCCCGTGGCAACATCCTCCACAAGTTCTAACAGAGGCCTAAAGCCCACAGCAATGGCGCATGCAAGTCCATATGAAGGATCTGCACTGGGAAGGCCCAAAGATCAGTGGCGGAAGGTAGAAAGTCTGCACAAGCGAGGTGCAGGATCTGTGCCACCAGCTGAGGGATCTGCACTGGAGCCAGGAAGTCATGTCCAAGGTGAAGACCAGAGCTGCTCTGACAAGAACAGCAGCCATCCCCGGCCACAGCAAGGACCCGAGCTCGTTTGATAGAACAGCTGAGTTGGTAGCAGGAAAACCAGCTGCAGCAAGCTTCTCCAGGGAAATGAACGGCATACAATCTTCCCCTCCTGTTCTCTTTTTATGGCCTTGACAACAATTCTCAGGTGGGTCTTCCATGCCCAGAGCCACACTGACTCAGTTCAGCTGGGTGTTCCAAGGTGCTCGTTAGTTAATTCCCCACACTGTTCTTTCTTTGTTCCTTCATTCTGTAGGTTGGCTCTCTCCGTGTGGCAGCAGATGACCACTAGCTCTGAGCCCACAATCTCTCCCCCTGACTAGCAGTCATAGGGCACGTAGAGCATCTCTTCACCAACGAAGATTTTTTAGACCCAGGTAAGCCTGTGATCACAAAGCCACTATCACCAGGGCTACCGAGGAAGAGAGCAGCTCACCAAGCAGGCCTAAGAATGGAAGTGGTGGGGAAGGCCGTGAACACAAATCCAAACTGCATGATCCTAATAGTGTCAAAGTTAAGGGAGAGGAAAAAAAATTTTTTAGAAGGGCCGGGGATTTAGCTCAGCGGTCCGGTGGCCTGCCTTGCAAGCGC